TAATAATAACGTAATCCTTGCATTTGATATTTCCCCCCAGAAGTCTCAACGCTCTTGCTTCACAGGATTTACTGTAAAGTGTAGTGACGGTGCATTCGGTAGGCAAACGTGGCAGGCCGTTTGCGCACAGTGACGTCCTGCAAACAGCCAATGTAGTGAACGAACGACTCAATGGGTGGCATTAGTGTGTGTGTAAAACATCCGGACACGGGGAAAGAGCGGGTAAGTGTGGCTAACAAGACAAGAAGGTGATTTAGAGACACAGACCGCAGTGTCCACCGTACACTGTCCAGCGCTTTGGGACGTCCTCCCAACGTGAAAAGGCGCTATATCAAATGCAAGGATTATTATTATCTTGTTGTTGTTGTTGTTATTATGGGCAGATTCGCAAAGATAATATGAAACCCATCTTCTCTCTCACAAACACACTGTCTCTCTCTCTCTCGCTGCTCGATCAGACACTTTGCGTGGGCGTTGACGAGGGTCACAATCAGGACATTTTAGTTATAAATATGGATTAGCACAGCCCCCCCCCCCCCCCCCTCCATCCCTGGATTGATTATTTTCCTGGTTTTCTCCAACAGGAAACGCGGGCGGCGCTAGGACCCGGCGCGCCTCTGGGCGGATCAGTGCCGCTTCCCGCAGCATCAGGACCAGCAGCAGGTGAGCAGCTCCCATCCCCATCCCGGCATCCCAGCCCCATCCTCATCCCGGCATCACATCCCCATCCCGGCATCCCATCCCCATCCCGGCATCCCATCCCCATCCCGGCATCCCATCCCCATCCCCATCCCGGCATCCCATCCCCATCCCGGCATCCCATCCCCATCCCCATCCCGGCATCCCAGCCCCATCCCGGCATCCCATCCCATCCCCATCCCGGCATCCATCCCCATCCCCATCCCGGCATCCCACCCCATCCCGGCATCCCATCCCATCCCGGCATCACATCCCCATCCCCATCCCGGCATCCCATCCCCATCCCGGCATCCCATCCCCATCCCCATCCCGGCATCACATCCCCATCCCCATCCCGGCATCCCAACCCTTTTCCCGGCTCGCAGCCCTATCCCGGCTCCCAGCATCTCCCAGTATCCCGGCCCCGCCGATCCCAGCCGGCAGCCAGTATCCCATCCCAGACGGCAGCCGAGCCTTTTACCCACTGGTGTTGGTAAACGGCGCCCCCCCCCGGAGGCTGCATTGACCCCCAGTCCCGGGGAATGAACAGCGGCGGAACGCTCACACAGCCCAGTGTCAGCCTCACTGAGACACACGGTACAGCAACCAACCCCGAGCCCAGTAACCAGCCCCGGGCTCAGTAACCAGCCCTGAGCTCAGTAACCAGCCCAGTAACCAACCCCGAGCCCAGCAACCAGCCCTGAGCTCAGTAACCAGCCCAGTAACCAACCCCGAGCCCAGCAACCAGCCCTGGGCTCAATAACCAGCCCAGTAACCAGCCCTGAGCTCAGTAACCAGCCCTGAGCTCAGTAACCAGCCCTGGGCTCAGTAACCAGCCCAGTAACCAACCCCGAGCCCAGTAACCAGCCCTGAGCTCAGTAACCAGCCCAGTAACCAGCCCTTGGCTCAGTAACCAACCCCGAGCCCAGTAACCAGCCCTGAGCTCAGTAACCAGCCCAGTAACCAGCCCTGGGCTCAATAACCAGCCCTGAGCCAGTAACCAGCCCTGAGCTCAGTAACCAGCCCAGTAACCAGCCCTGGGCTCAATAACCAGCCCTGAGCTCAGTAACCAGCCCTGAGCTCAGTAACCAGCTCAGTAACCAGCCCTGAGCTCAGTAACCAGCCCTGAGCTCAGTAACCAGCTCAGTAACCAGCCCTGAGCTCAGTAACCAGCTCAGTAACCAGCCCTGAGCTCAGTAACCAGCTCAGTAACCAGCCCTGGGCTCAGTAACCAGCTCTATGTTTCTAATAACCAGCTTTAGTAACTGCAGCAAAAATAATCTTCGGGGTTTTGATCGTTGCTGTTTTCATGTCCTGCAAAATCCTGATGTGAGTTAGGGTCAGTGTGTCACTAACCTGTCTGTGTGTGTGTGTGTGTGTGTGTGTGTGTGGGGCTGTGTGTGTGGCTGTGTGTGTGTGTGTGTGTGTGTGTGTGTGTGTCAGTGGCTGTGTGTGTCAGTGGCTGTGTGTGTGTGTCAGTGGCTGTATGTGTGTGTCAGTGTCAACTGTGTGTGTGTGTATCAGTGTCAGCGCTCGTGAAGCTGGTGTTTTGTTCCTCTCCGCGGGCATCAAGGGGTTAATCAGAGACAATGTGAGCCATAAAGGAGGCCATTCAGCAGCCAGTCACTGACACACACACACACACACACACACAGCAGCCCACGATGCCTGTGCCCTCGCGCCCTATATTATAACCTTGTTGATTAATTATCAGTTTGTTTCTCGTGTTTGCACTATATCGAGTGCTGACCCGGCTCCCAATTGATCATCTTTATTGATCCAGTCTCAGTGCCTCCAATGCCAGTGAATTCTAAACCCTGACAGACAGGTCTCTGAGTGAAGACATTCCTCTCATCTCTCCCCTGTTGCTCACAATGCAGTTCACTGCTGCATTGCTCTGTCTGTCAATGTTGGTCTTTCACTTGTGTCAGAGCGACTGTTGATGTGATTATCCGGGGACAATCTCTAACAAAACTCTCTCACAACGCTCACCGTTGAAGAACTCTAGATTGGCTAATTGATTCCATCTCACACAGGGCCACAAGGACCCTCACAGCCAACAGGGCCACAGAGACAGACCCTCACAGCCAACAGGGCCACAAAGACCCTCACAGCCAACAGAGACTCAGAGGCTCAAAGGGCGCACAAACACTGCACCAACCAGTGGGGCCGCGAATGGCCTGTTTCCGTGCTGTAACATCCTGTGTCATTCCACTGATGCCATAAATCAAGAATTGGGCTAGTGCGAGTGTTCGGAGGGCCACTTCTGGCCCGCGGGCCACAGGTTGGCGCTCACTGAGACAGGTGGCTGCTAAAGAGATCAAAGGGCAATGGGGGAGGGAGGAGAGTGGAATCAGACAAGGTCACTAATGTGGAGATGAACATCAACACAGACTTGATGGTCTGAATGGCTGTTATGTGGCGGAAGGTGTAGCTGTGAGTGTGTGTGAGAGAGAGAGAGAAGAGGAAAATCTAAAGCCTAATGCTGGAACGAGAGAGAGAGTTGAATCAGCTGCTGGTTTCTGGTTCTAAAATAACCTAGCGATGTCTCTTCTCCTCTCCGCGCTGGCAGTCAGTGACAGACGGCTATTATTCCTTGTCCAATTGTTGGCAAGTGGAGGCTGACCTGCACCTTGTGAATCAAAATGAAAAGGTCTGAGTCACAGGCGCTGGAATCACTCCTCGCTCCCAGCCTCACTCACGCCTTTCTGCTGAGAGAGACCTGTAACCATTTGCTGTGAGCGCTGTGCACGTGAGCTGGTTACAGGTAGAGACAACAACAAATTAAATTTGCACAGCTCTTTTCACGTCGGGAGGATGTCGCAAGGCGCTGGACAATGAGGGGTTTGCACCCGAACTATGGGTGGGATCAGAGAGGGGTGGAGGACAGGGAGCCTGGAGGAGGGAAGATGAACACAGGCGCAGTCGAAGAAGGTCTTCAAACGGGCCTTGAAGGAGGAGAGGGAGCCTCCTGGAGGGAGTGAGGTGGAGGGGCTCCGGCACAGAGTTCTAGAGGGTGTGGCAAAAAGCTGAAGGCCTGACCGCCTGCTGAAATGTGCGAGAGACCCATTATTCCTCTTGTGTGTGTGTGCATGTGTGCACATGTGGGTGTGTTCATAAATGTGTGCATATGTGCTTGTGTGCGCATGTGTGTGCACATGTAATTGTGTGTGCATTCGCATGTACTTGTGTGTGTGTATGTTTTGTGTATGTGTGCGTACTTGTGTGTGTGGATGTGTGCACGTACTTGAGTGTGTGCATATATTTGAGTGTGTGTATGTACTTGAGTGTGTGTGTGCATGTACTTCAGTGTGTGTATGTACTTGAGTGTGTGAATGTACTTGTTTGTGTATATGTACTTGTGTGCGTACGTGTTTACACAGCGCCTTTCAGGTCAGGAGCACATTCCAAGGCGCTGGACAGCTAAGGGTTTGCACCCAAGCTGGGGGTTTGGAATCATGAGGGTTAGAGGCATTAGGGACAGGTGTGTGGCGGTCGTGAGGAAAGTCTAGAAACAAGACCTAGATTAGCTAACTCCGTACAGGCTGCGGACAGAACCTGGGGCTTTCTTACCGAGCCTGCGGCTGTCAGACACTCTGTGCTGCAGGACAATGTTAGATTGGTTGGTTGCACTGAGGAGATGGGGAGGGGGCTCTCTCACAGAGCAGGTCACTGCGCAGCCGATGGGAAGATCTTACCTGGTCCTCAACCTGTCCTCTCCCCTTCCTCTCACACACACACACTGATTGGAATAATCAGCAGCAGCTTGGACTGATCATCAGGTGTATGTTAACCCTTAGGCTGCTGTCAGTTCCTGAGACTCAGTGGGATCATTGTCGGAGATGCCATCCTTCAGATGAGACCTGCAAAGAGCAACTTCTGGACAGACACCAGGAAGTATTTCTTTTCACACAGGGGGAAGAAGGCGGCTTGCGATATTATCAGCAGTGAGAACTACCACAAAAATGGAGTCAAATTTAGTCAGCAGTTCCCAGTGTTGGTGGTGAAGGGGGTGTTTACTCTCCCCCCCGCCCCCCCCTGATCAGTGATAACAACTGATTGTTGATGGTTGATGTGAAAATTATCCCGGGTGACAATATCACACTCTGAATTCCCTCCGTTTCTCTCTTCGGTTCCTAACCCATTTGCTATGTCTCTTCCTAGAGGTTTCTGATGATCCGTGAATGAGTGGTTCCATCCCCTCCGGACTCCTCGTCTCCGCCATCAGATCGACCCGTCACAGCCGGACGGACAAGACCCTCGCCACCCGGTGGGCCGGTGTAAGGGGTGGGGTTGTAGGCGGGGCTGATCGGGGTGTGGGGGGCTGACAGCTGGTAACCGTGGCTCTTGGAGATGTGGGAAGGGCCCTGTCATCTGACCAATGACCAATGCTAGACCAGACATCGCCCACCAGTGACACTCCTCTCCCCAAAGAGGATGGGTGATGGACTCGCAGGAAGGGCTCTGGGGTCTGTTACCTGCCACTCACACCCATGGCTGCTGCCAGTCAGGAAGGATGGACATGGAACGGTTCTGCTGCGGGGAGGCCAAGCGAAGTCTCTCCCACGTCAACAGCTCTGAACGGGAGCCTAGTGTCCGCACCTACGGACATCGTTTCCCAATCTATCGGCCTCTTCTTCATGTTGCTGGTTGACCTGGTGGGAATCATTGGGAACGCCGCGGTGATCCTGGTGATTATCCGGACTCCGCTGCTGAAGAAGTTTGTCTTTGTTTTCCACTTGTGCCTGGTGGATCTGCTGGCAGCCCTGGTCCTGATGCCGCTGGGGATGGTGACGAGCTCGGGGCTGTTCGGTAGCATGGCCCTGGGGGAAATCTTGTGCCGTATTTACCTCTTTCTGAACATGTTGTTCATCAGCGCCTCCATCCTGTCCATCCTGACCATCAACGTGGAGCGTTACTATTACATCGTCCACCCCATGAGGTACGAGGGCCGTGTGACCGTGCGACTGGTCGTGTCTGTCATCGTGTGTGTGTGGATCAAAGCCGCGCTGATGTCGGTGGTGCCGGTGTTGGGCTGCCTGGCTCACGGCTCCTCCACACACAGGAGCCATTGCTGCTCCCAGTGGAATGTCGACAAGTACAGGAAGGTCTTTGTGGTGTTCTTCAGCGTCTTCTACTTCTTGTTGCCGGTGTTCATCATCCTGACGGTGTACTGCGGAATGTTCCGGGTGGCCAGGGTGGCGGCCATGCAGCGAGGGCCGCTGCCTATCTGGCTGGACACCCCAAGGCGACGCTCAGAGTCCCTAAGTAGCAGGTCCACCATGGTCACCAGCTCCGGCCTCCAGCGGAGCTCCCCACAGAGGACCTTTGGGGGGGGCAAGGCTGCGGCGATCCTCGTGCTGGTGGGAGGACAGTTTGTCTTGTGTTGGCTGCCATTTTTTGCCTTTCACCTGTACTCAGCCATGACCCCAGGTCTGGGCCCCGAGGAACCCTGGGAGGCCATCGTCACCTGGATCGGTTACACTTCCTTCAGCGCCAATCCCTTCTTCTACGGCTGCCTGAACAGGCAGATCCGCGGGGCTCTGAGCAAACACCTCAGCTGCCTCTTCACCCCGGCCGTGGAGGAGGAGCCGGCCTTGCCCAGCCGCGAGGGCTCCATCGAGGAGAACTTCCTCCAGTTCCTGCAGCGCACGGGCTGCACCACGGACACCAGGGCCTCCAGCCCCAAACCTGACCAGCCCGCGCTCGCCTTCCACATCCCCGGCCAAATCCTGGAGGAGACGTGCGAGTTCCTGGAGCAGCAGATAGCCAGCGACTTCAGTGTGTCCAACACTTGTGTTAAACTGGGGCGCTCTCCCAACCACGAGGTGTAGCCCTCCCGCTCTCTCCCCCTCCGTCTCTCTCCCTCTCCTTCTCTCGACTGTCACATGATGTTTACAATATAAATCTATGTTTACGCGGTGGCTTTTCCTACCTCGAGGCTCAGTCTTGTTCATCGCGAGGATCACAACCAGTTTTACCATCACCAGGTCTCACTCCCTTCCCTTTCCAGCACTTTATTGTGTCGAATTTGATTTTTTAAGGCCTCCCGTCGCCCCACTTGCCTCCCCTCCTCCCTTGTTCCCCCCACTCCCACCTCCCTCATCTCCCCTCCCCCCTTGTCTCCCCCCACTCCCACCTCCCTCACCCCCAGTGACCGGGAACCACGGAAACAGGAGGAAACACTCGCCTAATTGAATGGACACAAAATCATCTTCTGGACAGTCAGAAGGTTAATGGCTCGGGCTCCTCGTGTTGTGATTTACGGGAGAGATTTTGTAAATTAACACAATCTTTCGCTTTGTAATTTCTGGAAAATTCTAATAAATGAGGTTGGTTATTTGTGGGGATGGCGCTCATTCCTCTTCCCTCCGATCGAAATCCTTCCGTCCCCTTGGCATTCTCTGAAGAACCTTTAACATCCACCTGAACAGGCACAGATGGGACCTCGGGTTAACATCTCATCCGAAGGACGGCACCTTCGACAATGCAGCACCTGCTCAGCTGCATTGGAGCATCAGGTTAGACTGCGTGATTCCAACCTCCCCCGACGTGGGGCTTGAACCCGCAACCTTCTGACTCAGAAATCACTGGATCCGCCACGGAGCAGGAAGGGTTAACCGCCGACTGCGTACGATTTCTTGTGTAGCCAAACACAGGCATGAGTTGCCGCTTCCGATGGGTTTAGCTGGAGGGAAGGACCTGTGACTGACTGAGTCACTGCTTTTCATGTCAGATCAGAGAGTGTGACGGGTACCGGCTTCTGAGGGGAGGCGAGGGCTGACCTTTCAGCCACCTCCCCATTGCCCAGCGATGAAAGTCTGCGCGCGGGACTCTCACCACTTCTAACACTTGTCATCTGGTTACCTCAGGATAAAATGTCACCCTCTGGGGGGTCCATAATTCCCCCCCCCCCACAAAGTGTCTGTGCTGACACCCGGCCCAGTGTGTGGGGCTGCATTGTCGGAGACGCCCACCTTCAGAGGAAACGGTCCTGTTTACCTGTTCGGGTGGGCGTTAAAGGATCCGGAGATTTCGCTGGAAAAGAGAAGGGAATTTCTCCTGTTGGCTGCCGCGTTTCGCCCACAAAACAGACGGTCACTACACTTCACAGAGTGTCCTACGAAGCACGGTGGGACGTCTCAAAAGACGTGATCAGGCGTTGTGTCAAAGACCAGGATTATTAGTATAGCAATCCCCCAGCTGGACATTTATTCTTTCTCTCCAGCACATTCACAGTCAATCTGTCTGTCTATCTGTCTCCCCACCACCACATTCACACAGGTTCTGTTCCCAGATATACATCCACAGCTCCTTCCTGACATTGATTGTAATTAAAAATTAGTCGTTAATTTACCAAAATAGCCTTTCGAGCCTCGTTTCCATGGAGACGCAGTGCTGGAATCACTTGCCACAGTGACTGGAGGAGAAGTTCAATCTAATTGCTGTAAAAATAGCAGTCCCGCGCATTCAAGCTTTCACATTCCGCAAGCCCGAACATACCAACCACCAAACCTCACCTGGTCATCATCCATCTCCCCTCCGCTCAGTCCCCCGCTCCCCCACTCCCTCTCCTCCTGCCCGTTCCCTCTCTTTCCCCCTCCCTCCTCTCCCCACCTCGCAGCCACTTGTGAAACATTCCCATCGTGGTCCAAATAACATCATTCATAATAATAATGATAATCCTTGCATTTGATACAGCGCCTTATCACATCTTTGAGACGTCTCAAAGCGCTTCACAGGATATACTGTAAAGTGTAGTGACTGTATATTTTGTGGGCGTAACACGGCAGCCAACTACGCAAAGCAGTGTCCCACAAACAGTCGTGAATTGAATGACCCAATTCATCGCCGCAAAAGAGAGAAGAAAATATTCTCACCACACACTCGGCACGATATTCTAATAAATATTTAATATTCATATTTAATTAGAAAAGACTCACAGGCGATGGAGCCCTGGTTTGGAATCTCCCGGTTTCTTTATTTAAAGAGATTCCCCGAGGAAGAAAGGGAACAGGGGAGGAGTTTTGAGGGGGGTGGCGGAGATGGGAGAAGTGTGGGGGGGGGGAGGGGGAGAGAGGGGGAAGTGCTCAGCATCGCATGCACTCGATGCATGTCTCTCCCATCACGTTGGCAGCAGGACCAGGGTCAGGGAGCAGAGGAGCAGTCTGCCCCCAGCGAGGGGGAGGGGTTGGCTGTTTGCAGGGGTATCTGTCACATACTGCGGGGTGTTGGTGGTGGTCTGCTCGTAGGCCTTTTTGATCATGTTCCACGACCAATAGTTCTGCATCATCTGAGCAGCAAAGTTGTCAGCTTTCATCTTGAGGGACTTGGCCTGGTGAGTGATGTCGGTCTCGGAGCCGTAGCGGTTGATGACGAAGCGGGCGCCGTACTTGGCTGTGGTGTTCTCCACCCATTCCAGGTAGGACTTGGTCAGGGTGATGACTCCGGGCCACATCCGGTCACAGTCGCTGACCCAGTTGACGACGCCGATGAGGAACCAGCGGTTGGTGTTGGCCGGCTGGCACACCATGGGGCCGCCCGTGTTGATGTGACAAGTAGCTGTGTCGCTCTCCACAAAGTCCACGCACATCATGTTCTGGGTCAGCATGCCGTTGTAGAACTTGCTGTTGCACTCATCGAAAGGGAGGAAGAAGACGGAGGTCTCCTGGAGCGTGTCTGAGCTCTCCTCCCCCATCTTCATCCAGCCCGTCACCATACAGATTTCCCAGTCTTTCTCGTTGAAGGTGGGGTTGTCGGGGAAGCAGACGGGCCAGGTGTAAAGCCCAAACTGGATCGGGTCCTTCATGCGGATCAGAGCCAAGTCGTTCACTCCCGTCTCCTCGTCGAAGCTCTCATGGAGGATGATGTCGTGGGGGTTGGAGTACAGGGCCCAGTTCTCGGGGCTCAGGCGCTTGTTCAGGCCCAGCACCACGATGATCTCCTTCAGGTTCTGCAGCTCAGGGTCCAGGAAGCAGTGAGCAGCCGTGATCACCCAGAACTCGTTCAGGATGGTCCCTCCGCAGAAATGCTTGTTTTCCGCCACCATCTCGAGGCTGACCTGCCAGGGCCAGGCTCCCGGCTCCAGCTCTTTGCTCCTCACGTTGCGGAAGGTCCCCCTCACCCCGGCCCGGCGGGTGCCACACTTCAGCAGGTTCTCTGTGAGCAGCGGAGTGGCCAGGAGCAATGCCAAGACCAGTGCCACACTCGCTAACCGCATGCCCACCGGGGAATTCAGCGCATCGCCGTGTGTGTGCAGACAGGATGCTGTGAGATGTGCCCTGTGCCCCCCCACCTCCTCCACCCCTTCCCCTCCCCCCTCCCCGGGGAGCAGGGCCTGTCAGACACAGGGCTTTTGTTTGCTCACCGCCTGCTTCACACACACGCAATGTAATGTCACATTGCACCAACAGGAGACAGTGTCGTTGGGGGCAACTATGAAGTCACTGAGGACATCCCATCATAAACACTTGTATCACTTTCCTGCACGACAGCCTCAACCCACAGCACCCCCCCAACAACACTCCCCTAATGCCCCCCACCCCTGACATCCCCACCTGACATCTCCAGCTCTCAATGTTCTCCTGTTCCCTTGTCTGCTCCCACCCCCAATCCTCGAGCCCCGGCAATGAGCTGCCCCACTGCTGCCCTTCTGAGCCAGGAGAGGAACGATGGATAGGGTTCGGAAGCAGGGAACCTTGGCTGACATTATCCCTCCCTGCCACATGTGTGTCACATGTTGGGAAGGGGTTAAATGCCAGTAATAAACTGGGGAGAGTTAGCGCGGACACAGACTGGAATGTCCCCCCTCTCGCTGTCCCTCAGGGAAGGGCTGCATTGTCAAAGGGACCGTCCTTCAGACGAGGCACGAAACTCACATCCCACCTCATCTCCCTGGTGACAATTGGCAAAGACTCTCCGGCTGTCCGAGCCGACAATCCTCCAGATAATTGGGTTTGTTCACCTCAGGGCTATTGCTGCGTGCAAATTGGCCGCCTCACTCGCTTTACAAAGTACACAGTCACTACACGTTTCCCTGCGAAGATGTTGTTGGCGACCGATCAGATGCCAGGATTATTATCATTCTTACACACTTGGTAACAGCAGTAAACAGCGCTCCCTACTGGCACAGAGAGGCGTTGGCAGCCTGGGTTGGGCTGAGATCAGGTTCAGCTGTCCCTGACCAACCATCGGCTCTCTGCTCCTGGACAAACACCGTGTCAGGCACCTCTGACACAGCTGTGATCTGTAAACACATATGAGCGTGGATGAGCCCATGTGCAAGAGCACACATGCACACACATGTAAGAGAACACAGCGATGTGTAAATCTCCTGACACTGATGATGACTATCTCCAGCCCCAAGCTGCTCCGGAATCCTCTCTAAGCCATAACTTGCACACATGTACACACATATATATATATATATAGTGCTTCACGTGGGGCAGCGTCTCTGAGGCTTAAAAAGTTTCCAAAGCAAAATGCCACCGGAATCAGCCCAAAGATCCCAACTGCAGACCCTGTATTGTAGTCGGCTACTCTCACTGCTGGAGGCAGATTCCCATCCTCCTGTTTTATGCACAGACAAACCCTCTTCCCCCCCCACCCCCCCGCCCCCGTTACTAAACACTGCCCCGAAATCAAGCTCAGAAAATCATTTCAGCTTCTGAAGAGCAACTCCAGACAAGTCCACGAGGGGGAGGCAGCGTTCCTCTCCAAATACAACCTGAAAGTCAGGGCAGGTTCTCGGTGTCCCCGGTCTCGGGCTGAGCGAGAGGTGGGGAGAGAGCAATGGGGAACCACGACGGCTGCTCTTTGCGGGGTCGGGGAACAACCCAGTGCGTTTCCTGCAGTTTGTAGATTAAACGCGATGCAGAACAAACACTAACTGCCCACAGCTGCAGGGCACCAGGGAAGGTAATTGAGGTAAAAGTTATGTAACGGTCTCCCAAATGTAACGGTGATTGTGAGCGAGGAATGCTTTGATCCAAGCAGGATGGGAAATGGTGATGTGGTGGCCCAATCAGCCGTTTGGCACTGAGTTGGTGAATGTGGGTCCGATTTCAGTCTCTCTTCTCAGTTCCTGCGTCGGTGACTGAGGATATTTCACAATCACTCATGTTTATATCTGATGGGTTTAACTTCAACCACTTCCATATCAAAACTTTTTTTTTAAATGTGCTGTTCATTAATCCGTCTACACTGTGCGTCCACACTCCCAGGTCAGGGTTAGAGACACAGTAAAGCTCCTCTACACTGTGCGTCCACACTCCCAGGTCAGGGTTAGAGACACAGTAAAGCTCTACACTGTGCGTCCACACTCCCAGGTCAGGGTTAGAGACACAGTAAAGCTCCCTCTACACTCTCCGTCCACACTCCCAGGTCAGTAACAGCACATGCTATGAGCAATGATTAGACAAGCTGCGGGCTCTTCAGTGCTGAGATAATGTGTCTCAGACGGGTTCTCGTTGAGTATGAAATTTTAAATGGGATTGAAACAATAAACCCAGAACAGTACTTTAGGATTCAATAAGACAGTTGAAAGGGTTTAGAGTTGCAAAGGGCCAATTTCAGAACAGACACCAGGCAAATTTTCTTTACTCCGAGGGTAATTTATGACTGGAACAGGTTGTCAGTAAAGGGGGGTTGAGGCCAGGACACTGGACTCATTTACAAAGTAGTTGGATGGTGCGATGGGGGGACGGTCAGGAGGGTGCCTGTAGGGATGAGGTTGGATGGGTAAAAGGGTAAAAGACATCCAACCCAATCTTGTGTAAAACTCCACACGGTAGGGTGGGGGTGTGGAGGGCAATGAGGAGAGGGGCGAGGGGGTGGGGGGGCAAGGTGGGGGGTGGCGAGGGGGAGGGAGAACGACGCCGCAAACACATTCCACGGCGAACTCATAAATCAGTGAGTTACTTCTCTACCTCGTGCGATCAAAGAGAAAGCTTCACATCTGCGAGGCAATTACCCCACTTCCCGGCCCCACCCCCCCACACACACACATCCGCACAGACACACACACATACTCTGGGCTCACACCAATCCCTGTGCTGAAGAGACGGACGGACAAACACATCTGGAAACGTGATTTGATTTGCGGTTTGCTTTGAGGTCACTACATCTACAAAGCGAAAGATTTAGAGATCAGTGAAATGCCCGAGCAGGACAGTATGTGGGCACACAGCACCCCCCACCCAACCCCCACCTCAGTGACTGTACTGTAAAGTGAAGTGAAGGCTTGACAGGTAACCAGTTGCCGAGTGTAGTGACTGTGTATCTTTATGGTAAGTGTAGCAGCCATTCTGAGTATACAATACCAAATTACAATTGTAAACGCCTTTCACGTTGGGAGGACATCCCAAGCGCTGAACAGTCAGAAGGGGTGGAGGGCAGAGAGGATGGGGGGGGGTGACTGAAGGCACGATGGAAGAGGAGGGTCTTGAGAGTGCCTTGAAGGAGGCAAGGGAGCGAACGAGGCGGCGAGACTGTGGGTTGGGGTTCCAGAGAGGCTGAAGGCCTGACCGCTGAAGGTGGGGTGGGCCGGGAGGGGGATATGGAGCAGGCTGGAGCCTGCTGAGCGGAGGGGGCAGACAGGTTGATAAGGGGGTTACCAGGTCGGAGAGGCAAGGCCATGGAGGGCCTCGAAGATGAGAACAAGAATTTTGAACTCGATCCTCTGAGGGATGGGGAGTCAGTGGAGCCGGGCGAGGATGGGGGTGATGGGGTCACAGAACCTGGTGGGGGAGAGGACACGAGCTGCAGAGTTCTGGATGATCTGCTGTTTGTGGAGGGAGGAGTTGGGGAGGGCGTCAAGCGGAGCATTAGCATAGTCGAGCCTAGTTGTAATGAAGACCTGTATGAGTATAGCTCGAGGCGTGTGGCCTTGGTGAGCGGAACGCACTGTAGCGTTCTGAAGACAATAGGCTACAATCTGTGACAATTATCACGAGAAGTTATAACAGCCGCACATCACTGATCCCCGATATCTTTAATATAATATTAATAATGTGAATAATAATAATCCTCGCATTTGATATAGCACCTTATCACGTTGTCAAGACGTCTTTAAACCTTCACGTTCCTATGTCACGTCAGCTACAGTGTGAGCGAGCGAGCGTGCGAGCGATCACACACACGCACATGTGCGTTCCCGTGCTGCACTGGTCACTGTGTCACACAGTGACCGAGCAGGTACACAGCAAGTGAGCATAGCACAGCTGGACTCAGGCTCCGAACATCTGCCTTCATTTTATCTGTAATTACTGCTCCCAGCCTCGGTCACTCCAGGTTATTCCGACCCACTTGGGAGAGAAACTAAAGCCACTCAATATTACAGTGTGAGACTCATTTTCTCTCTCTCCCTCACACACTCTCTACCCTCCCCCCACCTCTCTCTCTCTCGTAGCTTCAATGATCATTTGAATTCAGCGACGGGTTTATTGAAAAAACTTAAATCAATCAGGGAAATAACAGAATACTTTAGCCTAGCTCGGAAAAAAAAATCACTATTGTGCCTCTCTTCTCCTCCTCCACTCCTGTTGAAGGGGACTTTTTGCTGTCTGTCTCCATCTCTCTCTACTATTCATTTATCTTCTCTGCCTCTCTCTCCCCTCTCTGTGTAAGTGTATCTCTGTCTCCGTCTCTCTCTCCTGCTCCGTGTGTGTGCGTTTCTCTGTCTCTCTGATGCCCAAACCACACAGTGACTGGGGTAGGTTGCAGGCTGGCTATACACAGCTCTGGGCACTGATTCCAATAACAATTAATGTCAAGGATTTGGTTGGGACAATGGGTCAGCTCTGCCAGAATCTCACATCAGGGCTGCAGATGTGAGCGTGGCGCACAAACATTTGCGGAGCCTTCAGAAGGCTAGTGCCAGACTGAGGACTACCTTTAAATCAGGTGCAGATGCCATTCTGTTAACCATTCACAAACCTTTGTCTGGTTTCTGGTCCCGGCTCCGAAAACTACACGTTCCTGTACGAAACCACATTTCATGTCAAAGGCGGACCCTGTTTTAAATCAGGTGAACGTGGATTTTCAGCTGGGCAATTTGTCATCTGATGGCAGGCATGTCAGCACATGGACTTACCCCACCACCACCCCCAGCCCCTCCCCCCTCCCTTCCCTCTCCCCCACCCAGCTGAGGTTGCTGTTAGATTCAGTTACACTGTGAAATGTCACACAATCAGAAAGTTTGCACACCAAACACGCAGTCACTCCACTTTACGGTCTATTCTGTGAAGCACTTTGAGATGTTTCGAAGACGTGATAAGGCGCTGTATCAAATGCGAGGATTATTATTATT